GTGTTGTGAAATATACATCCCAGAGCTGTAGGGGGAGCTCGATGAGAAAACATGCGACGACAAAAGTGAAAACCAGCGAAGAAATGGCTAGAGTTGCCAAGTTCCCATTTAATTAGTATAATTGGTAACACCCGTGTTTACCCTACTATTTCATGTCAAAATGACTGCTGTGAAAAAGGTTTATTGATATCAACTGTACTGATATTGCTAACCCTGGTGCAACAGTGGGTGGCTTTTATTGTGAAGCAGTTGCAGTAAATGCAATGTGTCACAGCGGTTGTCATAGAGGCTGACCACAATCGTCCATTGATATAAGAAGCACCTCATTTAGCTACTTGGTACTGCAAGAAGACACTGAGAATCCCTCTTCATCACAAAAATTTGCCTTACAGAATGTAGTTTTGAGGGATCTGTGATTTAGTGGTGCGGCTAAGCGAAATATGAAATCTAGCCCGTTTTCTCCCCCAGCGTCTCCTCAGCTGTGTCCTCTCCGAACTCTGACCAGTGCACATGTGACAACCATAAGGGGAATACGATGAGTCCTTTGCGGCAACTTTTTGGCATACCAGGGCATAAATTTGCCTTCTCTCCTGTGTGTCTCCATCCTCCTCTGGGTTTGTCTCTTCTCCCTCAGGCCCCCTCTGAGATCCAGCAGCACATGCACATGGCCACTAAGAGAGACAAGTGTTAAACAGGCCATCTTCATAGCACTACCACAAACTATGCTTTCTGCCCCACTAATACCTTAGCACCACCCCTTTGCTCCCCTTCACTCTCAGAGGAAGTCCCCCTTTCCTGAAGCCATCAGTCTTGGCACCCTAGGTCAGGACTAAAATGTGACTTATGGGCTCAGACAGGGATGGGCTCTGCAGCTTGTGTTTGTACAACAGCTAAGAGCAACACATATGGCTGAGCAGTGTGAGGTACGTGTTTCTAGTGTATGGAGTTGTGGGCGGAAACCACCGTGTTTTCTCTGCCTCCCCTTCGATTGGAAAAAGTATTTGTTTTTTTCCACAACTAGACTCAGCCGCTTGACCTCTCTTTGAACCGTCATGTGCTTCTTGGACTTACACTTTTGGCCTATCTGGACCCACTGGAACTGCTGCTCACTGTCAGTTGCATTTAATATGTTAATAGTTTACCAAGTCACAGTTCAAACGAGCATTATGGCTGTGAAACAGCTTTAACGCGACTCCATGTAAACTGAATGTAGCCGGTGAACAGGAGAGCCACATCGCTTTTGAATAAAAGCAGTAAAGCAGCAACATTGCACATTTTTAACTCAACATTGTAACAATCTTGTAAAAGAAAAGAATACAGCAGAATTTAATAATTTAATGGCACAAAATGTTCGGTAATCAGATTTTGATCATTTGGGAACAAGGCAAAAAAGAGAACCTCAACTCATTTCTTAGTGCACATTGTGTCCACCTGTGCCTAAGAAACTGGGGTTAAGCGTTGATAGCAATTTAAAAATTAAAACACGCCTTCAGAACACCGTTATAATGGACTTCAACTACTTTAAAACATTGCCATAAAAAAAACATAATTTTTTTTTTTATTTAATTAAAATTTTATTTTAAAATCGGCATCCACAAACTTCCATACCACTATGATACTGTTGTGTGGCTTGATTAATTGACTTTTTGGGGCAATCACTGCACTGTGCACCTGTCATGCTTCTCCAACCACAAATATCGATAGATATCCTGACACAATCATGTACAAAACAACCTAATGACTTTGGACAGATAGTCCGGTTGCTCACCTCTCTATGTAAAGTCAGTCGAATATGTCATCTACCACCTGTGGACAGCCCAGTCAATACACAGACTTCACACAACAAAGCTCTCACTCCAGCCGACAGTTTGCAATCACCAAGGCATGGTGTTACAGGTGGATGTTTAAAGGTCACAGAGGTGGAGCATAGCACAACATACAATACAAGATTTTGAAATATATATTTATATTTTATCCCAATGTTGATTTTTGTAGCGTTTTTGTGTTGAAACAAAAGAGTTGCCAAAATTAAAGCCGGATTACTCCACATAAAGATACTTCATTAAATATTGTAAAATCAAAGGCTGATAAGCTTACAAGGATCCTCATCACAAAGTGTAAACCTTAAAGGGGAACTTGGCAACTCTAGCCATTTCTTCGCTGGTTTTCACTTTTATCATCGCATGTTTTCTCAACGAGCTCCCCCTACAGCTCGTGATTTATGAAGCTCAGTAAACAGTTTTACCTAAGTGTTTATTGGTCTCAATCTCTAGTTTCAGTCTTCTTCCATACAGCATTATGTTCATCTTAGTAAATGGATGGTCCCATGTTAGAGTAAAAAAGACCATTAAAGCAGAGTATGGTTTTAGGGCGTCGGAAACTGTCAAAACTAAGCAAGTGCTGAATTAGATAAGAATCCTGATTCTGTTGTTGCGTTGACATTTTCTCCACCTAAATACCCTTTTTCAAACACATATGTATATATATTACTAGTTTATCATGAGAAATACGAAGAATGCGTGGCTGACCAGCGAGCCAGCATTTGTCTCCTCCTTCCTACAGAAAGTTGAACACCTGCGCAGCCAATCGAGACAGCTCACTAGCAGATATACGTAAACCTACCGCTAGCTGCAAAAAAAATGTGTCTGACGCCAATACACTTCAAACTCAAAGTCAACCATAGGTACTGCACAAAACTCGACATAACAGCAACGACTGTACTATAACTGAAAAACTCACAGTAGTACACAGTATCTTAATCAATACTTACTAATATATGTTGGTCACTACACCACCCTTCATTATCTTGACATAATTTGGTACCATTCCTAATTGAAGTGACGTTAATTAAGATTGACGACTGTTCCTTTACCTTGTATACCTGTGGATAAATAAAAAAATTTAACAAAAAAAGCTAATCTTAATATATTGTCATATATATGGATCATGATTCCATAAACCTAACTTCATCGGGTATGAGTACATGTTTGGTCTATATCTCTGCACATTCCCTATCATTAACACACAAAACCCACATCAGTGCACAGCATCACATTTAGCCAGGAATCTATACTATGGATCAGACATCAAAACTCTTCCTCTCGCACGCTTATTACACTGAGGAAAGTATAGAAACGTTTAGAGAATGGTTGGTGAATTGAATTGATCATCAGTCTGTTATTTTTCCTGTCAGGATTTCACCCACATGATGTGGATCTGCAACTCTAGAGCCATGAGGACAAACTGCGGGTAAATTGGATTCCAATTGTAGTCTGCGGAATGGGGAAGCAAGGGAACAAACCCAAACCATCTCCACAGGCTGGGCCCATGGCGGCCCAGTGTGATATTATCGGTGATGTATGTATCTGACCCATGCCTTCAGGGTGCACAATGGAGAATTATAGTGTCAAGCTGTTCAAGCTGAGACCTTTATATTATGAATCTGCACAGAACATAACTCTACTGGTAAGGCATCATACAGTACATCAGCTCAGAAGACGAACCAGGCTCTCTTCTCTCTCTCACTCGATCCACTGCAATAGCCCTGCTCCTCAAATTGGTTTGCTGCTATTCGATTGACACAATCCAGGAAGAGTAAGAGAGAGGGAGGAAGAAATATAACATCAACCCGGTATTATCCACACATAGCTAGCACACTGAGTGACAAGAATGAAGTGCGAGGCTGCTGGTAAAATCACATTTATACTACACACATAATACCAACAACGGGTAACATAAAGGCGTAAAACATCAAAAAGAAACTAACAATAAACAAAGAAAAAAGAATGGGCCTCAAAACGACAGTAGAGTAAAGTACTGTTGGTGTCCAACCCCCACAACAATTCCGGTGAGACACTCGAATCAGATGTTCAATAGTAAAATCTGCAATTAATATGCCTTCACTTATTCCTACAAAGAAAGTTGCGTTTCCCAGAGAAGAGTGGTATAAGAGCACACCACTTCCTGCACAAAATGTCGTGCAAATAGTTAGTGGTAGTAAGAAACCCCAAACAAGATGTCAAAAATGCTGTGCCCAGCAATAATCTAAGCCTAACCCATTCTCCAGCTCCACAACATGATGTCAAAAATATAATATATTCTGCCCTGCAAACATTATTAGGGACCGAGCCAGCGACCGCGGGGATCCTGTATATGCTATATCTAGAATTTATTACTATTTAGCATGCACTATAACGAAACTGACAATATTGTGCAAGGTCGCAATCATGCTCGAATAGCTCATAAAAGCATCTCAAGATTCAAACGTGGCAAAAATCAACACATAACATTATTACAAATTCTCGTGCATGGCATTCCGTCCAACCACAATCGCGCCGGCACCGCCAAAATCGGCGCAGCCATCCGCCCCCTCGGAATCAAGCCCCAAGACCTGTAAAGTCCAGAACATATATAGAAAAATTCGGGTACGATGTGTATTCGTATAAAAGATAGCAAGAAAGTCCCTGTGACCCAAACTTACCAATCAAACTATAACCAGAGGACAAAGGTGCCGGCCATGTTTGAGATATATTGTACCGTCATTTGCGATTTGTCAGCATGCATTTTGCATGCAGAATTTATCGGAGACGTTCCATCATTTGGACACAAGCCCATTAAAGATCTATTAATCGCAAATAAAAATTGCGCAAATATTTATGGACATTCCGTCCGAATAGTGTGGAAAAAAGTGCGTGGCGTCCCGTCGGCGTTGCCAATTTCAGATCCTTCGCCATGAAAAAACAGAAAGTTGTCAAAAAGTTCTGCTACATTGATCCGTCTGCAACGAAATTCACTCTGATAAGTCCGCCCTTGAACATTGTCTATGTGATAATATTCAGTTAAATAGTGGATTTTGAGAGCCACTAGTTAGGCAACAGGGAAGTATAATGTTTTCATACTTTCATGTTCTACTCTAGCAGGATGATCAAGATCCATTTGAAATTTACTTATGAAAATGCGAAACACAATTGTTGATGATACTGTGATGAGCGGTCGTGTCTTGTGGCATGGCGTCAAATTTTGATATTACCTTCCACAAAACACGACGTTTGCGTATAACTTGAGTGGTACATTGTCCATTCAGCTCCAAGATTCACTTGGTCTGATAAGAGTCCCGCCCTGGAACTCATCTATGTGATAAATTCACTAATAGGTTGAAGCCCACCTACGTGGTGGGAAATTTATTTACAACTTTAATGTATTTCTCCCAGCAGATTGAACAATCTAGCTGAAATTTGTCAAAAGA